CCTGAGGTGTGTGTGCCTGACACATTGCTGGAACTTGATAAATCAAGAGCGGCTGACCGACGCTGGCCCTCAGGAAAAGTTGTCCTGCAACAGGTGAAGGAGGATGGAAGTCAGTGGTCTTCCCCAATGCCCTGGGGTCTTGCAAAGCAAGATCTCTGGGGCTTCACTGACCAAGCTGAGCACTACCCGCTGCCAGACAACATTCTCATCTAAATGTAGGATTTCACAAGAATGTTATGCCAACATTGTTGTAAAAATAAAAAATGGAAGCAACTCAATATCAGTCAACAGAAGCCTGGTTAAATAAATCATGGTATTGCCAGTTCAAGGGAATACAGTGCAGTTCTTAAAAAGAATGATGAAGATCTACATGTAAAGTAAAATAAAAAGATCTCTAAGGTATTTGTAAAGTGGGGGGTGGGGGGCGTAATATATGAAATAGTGAATAGAGCAGGCTACTAGATATTAAAGCGTGTGGGTATCTGGAAAGACAAATCCAAGACGAATCACTGTTATTACCTCTGGGTAGGAAAACCAGAGGACAGGGATAGGATGGAGATATATTTTTCACTGAATTCCCTTTCATACTACTTGACTGTTTAGCATGAGTGTAATGAGTTTTGTCAAGAGTCCAAAATTTTCTAAGTTTCCAGTGTTTAAGAAAAAAATCCAGTCTTTAAAGGCAGACAGACCTAGATCTGCCAGTTCTCATTGTGCAGTGTTGGCTGAGTTACTTCATTTCTGAGTTTCCTCTTCTGCAAAATGGGATCATAATAGCAATTACTGCTAGGGTTGATAAGGAATAAATGCAATCCTAATACTTTGGGGGTAGTTAATTTTTTGTAGATACTAATTATTCAATAAATGTTAACTATTAAAATTAGAATTACTGATTTGTATTAGCTGATTTATTGTCTTTACAGTTCCCAAGAACACTTCACAAGAAGTTGCTCTCTGGAAATGCATCTGCAGTGAAAGTACTAACCCACCTTTCTTTCAGCATAAAGGGCACACGAGGACTGACAGAGTCTACATTGAACCTATCCTATGGAATGGGACCACTCCTTTGTCCTTACCTGTCATCAGGTCCCTCCCTACTAGAGGGGCCTTGGAGAGTGTCAGGACTTTGCAACTGGGCAGGGAAGTGGGAAAGACTTGCCTACCCCCAGCCCAGCCCCACTCATACTGGGAAACTGAGGTCAGCACCAGGAGTTCTCCATCCCTGCAGCCTCGCTGTCCCTTCTCAGCTGCAGTAAAAGGAGGAGCCACATTAGACATTGTCCAAGTCTTTAATGTGGGGCAAACTGGGAAGGCCACTAGAGAGCAACTCTTAGGATCTTGCTCAGAAGGTCAATGGGTAACACAAGGGAGCCCCTCGTAACTGCTCCCCCAATTCCCTAGGGTTGGTGGAATTGGAGAAAGCAAATAGACTTTGTGATAAAATCTGAGTTTGAATCCAGCACTATAACATAGTCAGTGAAAGATGTGGGGTCTCTGCGAGCCTTAGCAAACCTAAAAAACAGAGATAAAATCACCTCCCACAAAGGGGTCTTAGTGTACAATAGGTGTTTATTAAGTATGTTCCCTTCTTAGGAAACCTGCATCTCTCTAATTAAAAAAATCCACAAAGGTTTATACAAAGTCTTGAATTATGAGGGGTTACAAAACAAACTCAATCAGGGATTGCACTGTAGGGCTTTAAGCATAGAAAGCAACATTCACATGCTGACCTCACGCAAACAAACAGGGTCCTATAGGAACCAACGTTCTTGCACCTCCTGATAGAAGCACACACCACTTCCTGTGTCATCAGAAAAATAAACCCGAAACTCATCAAGCTTGTAGAGCTCATGACCAATCCAAAGGAAGGCAAAGAACAGAGAAATATGGGGAGTATCACCATAGGGTTAGAATCAACAAAATCCTAACTAGGAAAACCTACAGTTCAAAGGGCCAAGTTCCTTCAACAGGAACAGCAAGAAGGCAAGGGGATATAAAACAGAAATATAGAGGGGCAATACGCAGATTACAATAGACTGAAGAGACCTATCACCCAAATGTGGTATGTGTACTTTATTAGGATTCAGATTAGAGCAAATAATTTGAAAAAAAAATTTGAGAGAACTGCAAAGAATTGAACACTGATTAGATGTTTGATAATATTAAGGAATTACCATTAATATTTTTAGACATGATATGGTACTGTAAGAATCTTTTAGTGATAAGTAATAAAATATTTATGAATAAAATATCATGGTTTGAATATGCATCCAAATAATTTGTATTGGGAAGTGACTGGATTGAGTATGAATGAAGCAAGAATGACAGTCAGTTGATTATTTTTAAAACTGAGCGATCATTAAATGATTCTTTCTGCTTTTACATACATTTGAAATTTTCCACTTTTATTAAAAGTAAATAATTAAACCACAGGCTGGGAGGGAACATTTACATGTATAAGTAAAAAAATAATAATAATAATTATATATATGTATATAAAAAAAATACTAACTGCTCGAAATCAGTAAGGAAAGAAAACACAATCCAATTGAAAGAAAATGGGCAAAAAGCCATGAAAAACAAGTCACAGAGGTGGAAACTCAAATGGGCAATAAGCAAATGAAAAGATGATCCAGCCCTGGCTGGTGTGGTTCAGTGGGTTGAGCATCAACCTGTGAACCAAAGGGTCACTGGTTCAATTCCTGGTCAGGACATAGGCCTGGGTTGTGGGTCAGGTCCCTGGTTGAGGGTGTGCAGGAGGCAGCCCTTTGCTGTTTCTCTCACACATCAATATTTCTCTCCCTCTCTTTTTTCCTCCCTCCTCTCTCTAAAAACATAAATAACTTTTTTTTAAAAAAAGAAAAGATGATCCACCTTCTTTGTGAGCGGAGAAATTAGAGTTAAAGCCACCTCACACCTAAACACACTAGTAGGAATGTAAAAGTGCTGAAAGGAATGCTTGCACACTGACAGAGGGATCACAAATAGGTATTTCTACCTTACGGTAAGGCAAAACTCAGTGAAGTTGAAGATACCACACCTTACACTCGGGAATTCCACACTTAACATTGACTTTAAGGAAATATTTGTGTAATGAATGGATGTAGGAAGTAATAATAAATGGCTCCTGAGATCAAAACAAGAGAGAAAAGTAGACACTGTGCATTTCCTGATAGAAAACATCACCCCAATAAGAATTATGTTTTCAGTAAAATTAAGCCTGAATCTAAGCCGCTAGATTCAAATGCCAATTTAAGGAAATACAGTTAACAGAGGAGCATGTCAAATAGCACTGATTAGAGATGCAAGCAGGTGGTGAAATGACCCAGGATTCAATAAATAAATTGTAAAAAAGAGAGAGAGATGAAAGAGGGCTCCACAGAATGAAAGTAAATATAAGAGAGTAGTTAAATTCATATAGACAGCCAGGAGAACTCTGATTTCCAGGGCTGGAGGAAGAGAGGGATGAGGGAGAGAGGAAAGGGGAGCAGTGGAGAGAGGAACGAGGACAGAGCTTCAGCTGGGGAAGGGGAAGCTGCGGGTCCTGGAGATGGACAGGGGCGATGGTTATCCAACACCGAACTCACCTAACGCCACAAAACTGGACATTAAAAACGGCTAAAATGCTGAATTTTATCTTATACATATTTTACTACAATTTAAAACAATTTTAAAAAACATTAAGAGCCGTGACCAATATAACACTTGGACCTCATGGATCCTGATTCAAAAAACTATAGAACATTATGAGACAATAAATTTGAACACTGATATCTGATGGAATAAAGGAATTATTGGTAATGGAGGGATGACAATGATATCATACTTATATTTTCTTATTTTTAAATAACCCCCCATTCATATACACACTGAGATGTCTGTAGATGAACCAACACTCGGGTTTGAACAAGGGAAAAGTGGGGGGGTGGGGGTGGGCGGGGATAGGCAGAGACAAATGTATGTGAAAAAATAAATTAATTAATTTAAAAATAAAAAATAACAGGGAAGGGGAAAGTGGGTATGGGTAACTTCACAAAGACTAACCGGGATTAATAATAATTCAATTTAACAATGGATACATAAAATGCATTATAGTAATTTGCATACATCTAGGCATTTAACATTTGATACAGGAAAAAAATTGTAAACGAAAAAGAAATTATTATAAATGTGTTCAAAAGGACAAGAGGCTCTCAGAATCATGGTCTGTAACAACAAAATATTGGCAACCATGTTAACATCAATGGACACATGACTAGATTCAAAATACTGCATCATTTCATTCAGCAGAGAAATAAACAGACAAGAAAGAATGAACCAGATCAGGAGTTCTCAGCCAGTGTCTGGAAACATCTCTGGTTGTCGTGATGGGTGGGTGCTACTGGTCTCTAGGAGGGGGAGGTCAGGGATGCTGATAAACATCCTACATGCACAGAGCAGTCCCCCCTCCCCAAATAATTATACAGCTTAAACTATCAATAGTGCCACAGTTTAAAATCTCTATGTTAGCTCCATATGGGATAGTTCTCTAACCTAGTATTGAATTAAAAACAGACAAAAACAAAGGGCAGAGAGATATGTAAAAGCAGTACCAGGTAGGTGAAAGTTACACAAAACCAATATTGTCTATCGCTCATGGGAATTTATCTATGTAGTAAAGTATAAAAATATGGAGGGGAAGGCTATTGATACAGTACATTGATATGAAGGCGGGGTATGGAATGTTGCAAAAGCAGCTTCAATGAATTTGTAGCATTTATTTTATTTATTCTATCCCTCATGCTAAAAATAAAGCAAATGTCATTATGGTTAATGCACATAAAATCTGGATGGTAGGCATATGAATGCCCACTCTTTCAGACTCTGGACTTTTCCAAACCCTTGATATTGCTAACAATGAACAAATTAAACGGCGGGGTTGTGGACAGGAAGGGTGGGGTGGACAGATGGAGACTGGGCAGAATGGCAAGGCCAAGATGTTCCTGAGCGGTAGCACTCACCGGTCCCCGGAGGTCAATGAGCTCCTGCCTCATCTGGGACACGAGGGCTTCCTTGGCCACCAGGGCCCTGTGCAGGCGCTCGTTGAACTCAATCAGCTCACCGTGCATCTCCGCCACCTGGAACACACAAGCACCAAACAGTGAGGCTCAGAGGGCAGGCCCTCCCCGGTGACTTTCCCGGTCTTCTCTGGGCCCACTACTTGTCAGCAAGGCATCAGGAGGTTATTTGGGCTAAAGACATAACACTGCTCACCTATGAGCCACACAAATCCACCCATAAGTTGAATACATTTTTTTTGTTTGGTTGACGTTAACCCTGTGGAATCTACAGTCCACATTTTATGATCAGAGCATGACTGTATCAGGTCATTCTTGTACATAAGGCTTTTATTTTTAATTAATGAACACTGTTCTATTAAGCACTTGTCTTTCTAATCTGACTTATGTCTGTCAAGAATTTCCCTGCTAGGGGCACAATTAGAATAACCGGCCATTGCTGTCCATCAGGGCCTTGATTCTGAAAACCAAGAAAACAGAACCAGAGCATGTTGAGATGATGACAGTGATGGTGACAGACACAGCTGTAGCAGCACAACTACCCTTTAGTCACTGCTTAGTCCGTGCCAGGGAAATCTTCTTGTGCATGCCTTGTGTCTTCATTCACCAGCTCTAGGAGGCAGGTAGTATTCCCACCTTACAGAAGGAGAAACAGGTTGTAGTTGAAGGTGCTGGCCCGAGGTCATATAGCTAATAAAGGACTAACTCTGCAGCCGTGGTCCTTGACCACTGGGCTACCTGCCACAATCCTACCTCTCCACTGTGCCCAGAGGCAACCCCACTCAGGCCCGCTGTGAGCCCTCAAAATTTTCCACATTCATGCAATATTCTTGGCTGAGCCCAAATAAATAAAAATGGCAGTAGCCATAAGGTAACCTATGATGTAGAATGAACAACAGCTCTTTCCAGCTGTAACTTACAAAAAGCACCGAGATCAAGGCACTTACGATGCTTTATATAATGTATAAATATCAGACCATTTGCAATAAGTACTTTACATGACATATAAAACATACTGTCAGAATTAAGAAGGGATATTGGGAGAGGCTTTAGGAAAAAAGGGATTATAACCTGAGTCTTGATGCCTTGGGAAGAATAAAGGGGAACCCTCCTTTTTTTTTTTGGATATATTTTATATAAAAGATAATAGGCAAAAAAGGAAATACACCAGAATATTAACACTCATCAAAGTCTATTCTTTCTATTTTCCCTTACATGTTAGTTTCCTAAGGTGCACTCTTTCATTTATCAGCCAGGATAACCACTTAGACTCTTTAAAAGAATTAAACTCTTCACATGAAACTAAAGGAAGCCAAGGTGTAACCAATGTGAAATTTATCAGGCTCTCAATTGTAATCCTGAAGCTTCCATTACCTTGCTCTGTGAAGCCCCACTGTATGAATGGCACCCCTTCTTTCCCTTTGGTACCCATCTCTTTCAAACCAGTGAGAAATGCAAAGTGGAAGTGGCACAAAAGATGCTGCAAGAACCATGCAATTAACAAAGCGAGTACACTGAGCTTTAAACAGTTTTTTCACTGTGCAGACCTAAAATTAATATTCTCCAGTTGCTTTATTCCTTTTGTATTAAAAAAATGCTTATGATCTTCCTTTGGCCTTTCACAAATAAATACAATATCACTAATAATGCCTGTGTGGAGTCTCTGCACAGTAATCACATATACCCTCCATAAACTTCCACAGGGCTGAGAAGCCAGTCACCCCACAGTTAGCAGGAAGCAAACAACTGGCAATATTCTTGCTGAATACCTGCTAATATGACTCCACAAAAATTCAAGCTTTAAATAAAGGCCACTCTCATTTCCAAAGCAAAGCAGGCTTTTGCTTTGTTTTTGTTCTTTATTTTGTTTTGCAGTGGGAGACAGAATGTTAAAATAATTTTCCATAAATGCGTAAAACAGCAGAACATCCCAGCTTCAAGAGGTGTTTATTGTGAGCTGTCAAAACCCTGGCTCTCTTTTGTAGCCAGAAAAGTGACTTGACCACGTCAGACAAAGCTTTCATTCCACTAGGGAATTGGGGGTGGCTGGCAGGGGGCGGGGAAGGTAGAATCCACTGGCACCGAGGAGGCAAAATTTGAGGAAATAATTTCCAGCAGCCATTAAAATCGCAATGTTTGTTGCTATTAAGCTCAGCTCTGAAATTCTGAATTTTTATATTATATAGCCCTATGTACAGCCACTGATTTAAACAGCTTTCATTTTACACAAACCATACTGAGCCTAATGTTCCTCAAATAACTCTTTCCAAACTCTGGAATAACTAGAAATGAATTCAAAACTCAGAGTGAGCCTCAGAAGAGGAATCTGAGATCACAAATAGTTCCCATTATCATAAAAATAACAGCAGGCTACACAACCACTGCCAGCTGAAATTTCTATTAGGTTCTGAGGGCACTTACAGGTCTTATCTAGCCTTCATTCCTTATTTTCAACAGCTACAGCAGGGAATAGGAGAGAGAGAAAACACGTGCCCTCCAAACCATTCTCTGCCAAGTAGGCAGAGTGATCTTCCCAAAACAACATCGGATATTGTCACCTGCTGTTTAAAACCTTCAATGCTTCCCACCGTCCTAAGTTAGGACAGAATACAAACGCCTTTAAAATCTGGCACCAGCCTCTCTAACCCTATCTCCTACCCAGTCCCTTTCAGTGTCTCACTAACTTTAGCTCCATCTTCTATGTTCTATAAATGTGCTGAGCTGTAAGTCACCAGGAGACAAAGAGGAGAAAGGCTTGCCCAGTGGAGGAAAGTTCAGGTGCAAAGGCACAGAGGTTGACAGTCAGGGAGGCAGTTGAGAGAAGTGGGTAAGGGCTCAGACTCTGGGGTAAGGCAAGCCTGTGCTCGATCACTTACGGACAATGTGCACTGGTACAAGACATTTAACCTCTGTAAGCCTGAGGATATTCACCTACAAAATGAGAATTAAAAACCATCCCCGCTTTACTGGGCCATTGTGTCAAGGAAGTGCCCTGGGCCTGGCAAATGCTCAGTGAATGAGAGCTGGTTTTACATGATGCAGCATCACATAAAGGAAAATGAAGAAGAAGGAGAACAGGAGGGTCTCCAGAAGCCAGATGGAAAGGGGCTGTATGTGCTGGACCAAGGAGTTTTGACAGCTGTGGAGAGACTCACTGTCCCCCAAGTGGAAATATCACCAACAGAATTGTTAGCCATATGCTAGGCATTGTTCTTGGTGCAGGGGGGAGGGGAAGAAAAGTCATGTGGTTCACATCCTAAAGGTGAAATCATTTACAGCTCAGGGAGAGAGGAGACTTGGGAGGATGATGGTGTGTCAAGGGGGGCTTCCCCAGAGGAAACACTGAGAAGTCACTTCTTTAATCAGCCCTGACACATGCCAGGCAGCCTCCCCTGGCCGATCTGTGCCCTAAATCACGGTGCAGGCACCCACTGTGTTCTGGTACCATCAATGCTCAGGGCCACTTTGAGCATCTGCAGTATTTCTTTCTATTCTCAGCATTTTTATTTCCTTGAAAATTAATCTGAAGGTAGTTGAGGTGCCATTTGACAGCACTAATGACAGTTACAAATCAAAAGCAAATGCCAAGTGGAGATACACTAATCACAGCTGATGCAGCTTCAAACACAGACCAACATGGGCTAAAGGGTTAAGAATGGAGCCTTGATTCTCTGAAAGGCCCAAGGAGAACACCTGGCTGGTAGAAGACATGGTTCCTACGTTGTACTTGGAAAGTGCACGCTCATAATTAATAAGGCGTAAATGCTTATCAGTCACCATTTGGGTTTCATTCTTTAGGCTGGTGAGAAGATGGTAGAAAAATTTAAGAAGTCACAGGGCTGTTTGGCAACATCTACCAAACTTTTAAATTCCCTCATCTGTGACTTGGCCAATCCCTGCTGGGGAGTTATGTTGCCCCTGTATTTGCACATGTGTTCAAAGCAGGCATTCAGTTCCAAATGGCTGGAACTTACCAAAATGCCCAACCACTGGAGACTGATGAACTATATCAGGTTCAGCTACTCTCTCCCACGGCCTGCTCCTTAGCAGACATCACTAGTCAACCGCAGCTCTCCTTCCTCAAGAAGACACCCAGGCAGCCATAACCAATCAATCAGTTGGCTTACAAGATGACATCTATTTGGTATCACTGGCATAAGAGATAGATAGAGGGAAAGCGTCATCAAGAAGGTGACATTTGAGTTGGGCTTTAGAAGATGGCTTTGGAGCTTTGGAAGGCTGAGTAATCCATTCCAGCTGGAGCATCAGTGAAGATGATCTCCCAAAATAATGTGGCTGTGAAAAGCTTTTAAGTCTGTGAAAATCCCAGAAATTATCATAATTACCTGCCAAATCATGAAAGGATTATAAATGTTTTTAAATGCCTCTGGCACTTCCTTTCACATCAGAATGTTCTATCTAATCACATTCAAGTAAATCGTGCTTTGCCCTCCTTCGGCTCCCTAAATACACACTACCAGATTAATTAGATCAAGACACCCCCACCTCCAAATTTTAACAGCAACCGAGGCTCTTTTGGTCACAGACCCAAACTCTCCAGGAATGATCACTTAAGATGCCTCAAAATCTACCCAGCTTAGATAAAATGCCCAAGATTTTGGTCCCACTTACACTGGCTGTGGGGAGGGATCTGGAAGCGCCTTCTGTGATGATGACACTGCACCTGCCTCAATAAAGACCAAAACCTCACCAGCGTCCATTTGCCTTAACACAACTTGCAGCACCAACTACATGCCAGGCCTTTGCCAGGCATCACGTCCATCAGCTCTTGTGAGCCGGGCCACCCTTCTGCAGGGTGGGCCTGCCTTTCTAAGGAAGAGGCCTGCAGGCTCAGGGAGTCAGGAAGGGGCAGGGCAGGGAGAGCCCACTGTCTGTGCTCTTCAAACTCCACCTTGGGGTGTGGTAGAAAGCCAAGCGCTTCAGGAGTTCAGGAAGTGAATTTGTCCCACAGAAGAAAGTAGAACAGTGTGGCCCAGTGGCGCCCTAAGCAAGCCGATCATTAGCCACTTGGAATGCTTCTAAGAAATGCAGATTTCTGG